TATTTATTTATTATATAACATGTAATATATATATTTTATTGTTTACATAATGCTTATAAATAAAATATAAAATTAAAACAAGAATTGCCCAAGACCAGAATGTTTATTAAATATTGACACATAAAAAACAATTATTTGTTTGAGCGAAGGAATAAGAACAGATAACAAAATTGATAACGTAAAAATAAATGTTGGTTTGATTCATTTTGTCAACAATCATTTCACCAACAGTTGTTTCGTTAACAAATGGTTCGAATTTAATATGTTGCAAGCAACCATGCAACAAACCTTTGAAATAATCTAATAAATTAAATTTTACTACTCGAAAATGTATTTAAAGGGTTGATTTTCGACTTGGTTGAAGAATAACTCTCTTCCTAACTCTTATCTTGACCATATCTCTCGATATAATCAAAATAACCTTAATATAATGAATGTCGACAAAATGATTGTAAACACAACCAATATTTAAGTTATACGATTAAGACAAGACATGAATGATGTATGAAAAGATCCAACAAATTTATTTAATAAAAACAAAATTTACAACCTGTTTTTTTTGCATGTTCTAATAAAATTTCCATTATTTCCGCATCATCTGTTGCTGATTCAACGTTACCCGGATCATCATCAACTGTATTTTTTGGTATTTTTGATATTTTCAATATTTTCGATAAACTCATTTTCATTTAATATTTTCGTCATACTTTCTTTCTTTTAGTGCGTTGACATTTTTTTTGATTTCGACTTGAAGATAGTCCAAGATATTTGGATCGGCACCTTTGTAGACAATGATTGTGATAACCATGTCCACACGTGAATATATACACTACAATTATTCAAATTAGTATTAGTATGGTTGGTGTAATCACAATGTATGTAATTGCAAAAAATGTTTGTAGATGGTTTCCTAGAAGTAACAAAGCCTCTTGGAAGGTAGCAATCGGTTATTTTGTAAACTAAAGAATGCAATTAACACCATTAGATGAAGTTTTAGTAAACAAAGGGACAAACTTATTATTTATCAAAAAAAGATATAAAGTATATAAATATGATTGATTTTGGACTGAGATTGATGTATCAAAAAAAAATTAATTTAACAATATTATTTTGAGTCGTTTAAATTGACTATGTACTACTTTGTGATCGATTCAATCATTAACACCAAAGAAACAAAATTATTTATTTCGCAATAAAAGCTATTTGTTTGTTTGTTTTTTGATTTTAATATCAATACATGGTTTCTATTCGTAATACAAATTTGCTTTATTCGCTTTTATTCATTTTATTAGAATTATTATTATTCGCTCAAATTATTCATTTTATTTGAATAGCAACCCTAACCACTACTCAAGATTATGTTATTATTTTAGACTGTATGATAAACATACTAAATATTATTAACTTATCAGTATACCCATTACCTTTAAAGAATATTGGCCAGATATCAGATTCCGATATCTGACTGATATTTTACTGATACCCATTACCCAATTTGGCATCATTCGACCAGTAAAAAAAGAACCAATAGATTTTATATAAGCAAAGAAAGATGGGAATCTAAATTAGCACAAAAGAATTTTAAATCATAACAACTTGATAGCTTGATTGACATAGTGATGCAGTCTTGGATTTAATGTATTTTTTATTGTATATTTTAAATATAATTAATCATATATCTTTAATAAAACAAACATGACTTAGCTATTTAATCATTTCCTTGTATGTGAATGCCTCCATACATCAAATATTCACGATAGTCATGATTATTATTCAATACATTTGATATCATCATTGACATAACAAACAATTGTATCACCCAGGTACTAATGATACTAAGGCCATGCAAAAATGAAACTTCAATAATGCATGTCTACCCAGATCTCTGGGATTCACAAAATAAATTATTTTTCCTGATTATCAATTATATAGTTCCTTATGAATGATAAATCTGACGTTGATTGCAGGTGTCAGATTTAATTAAAATTTTCCTATCACAAACATGCAGGTCCGCACAATTAAGTACCATCCAGCACTATGGAGTTTCCCCATGGGTGAAGGCTCCCTGAACATGTTGGAAGGCTTTGGACAAAACTTTCCCTATCTTTCTCTCAGACCAGACTCGGTTGTTTATCATATGAGCATTAATAGCTGATAGCTGGTGCTTGTGTGATGTTTGCTTTGTGTTATCACCCTCTAGAATAAAGTTGGCGTTTGCAACTGATTCAAAATTCTCCAACTCGGAAGGTTGCAACCTGGGTTGCTGTCTTGTCAGAGGCATACCTACTCATCAACAACCCTACCCCCATTTAAATAACAAGTTCAGTTGGTCAAATAACAAACACTATTTTACAGCCTTCCTCTTAACATCAGAGCCCAATGCAATTTCAGGGCCATCAACCCTGCTCTGAATTGTGACCTCCTGTGCTCGAAACAAGTTTCAGGTTCTTGTTGCTTTGATGGATCTGGATGTTTATGCACACCTAATATCACAACTCTTCAAAATGCGACTTGGTCACAGAGCCATCCTTACCCTAGAAGTGGGATCGTTGCAGGAAACTTTTCAGCCAGCATTCCAACAGCCTTCACCGGTCTGGGTGCTGTGAGAAAAGATTGGTGAAAGTGTCATTGACAATTGATGCGGTCTTGATAAACTCCAGGGCCTTGCGCTCCTCCCTGGAAATTTAACAACATCATCGTATCATTGGGAGCATCGTGGTCAGATTAGCCTTGTCTACACGAGGAAGATGATAATGATTGTAATGTGTTTAAGGTAGCATGCGTGCTTCAACGCCTGCCAAATCAAACATCTCATATTTAAACTGTTTCTTTTTCAATGGTGTGCTGCCTTTATTTATATATTAATATTAATTATGATTACGCAAAGCAAAATACCAATCATTGATTTGTTACCATCAAGGATCTTATAATTACCCAGCAAGTCCTGCTCCGCGTTTTGTTTTCAATTAGAATATTTATAACAAAAAAGACTACAAATAAAAAATAGTACTCCTGTCATTAACACGTCTTCAGACCCAAGCCATACCAAACAACATCCATCATTCACATTTTGTCATTGAAAATAGATTGTTTTTTCAAAAAAAAAATTAAATCGCGTCAATAAAAAAAATCTGTACAACACCAAATGCCAATAATAATAATGTTTACATGTTTGAAATTTTTTTTTTTTTTAAAAAATAAAAAATAAAAAAATGCCACGAGATATAAAATCAGAGCAAAGAAATCAAAAATTCGAAAAAGTCGGCGGGTAAGTATTTATCATAAGAATGGTGGTGGTCGTCACTCGTCTTCACTCTAGTTTATCTATAAAATCTGCAAATTAATAAAAAAATTTCTCTTATTTTTATTATTGGATTTTACAAAAAATACTTGATCCTAGTCAATCACCATTGAAACATGATTATGAAAAACTACCGGTCATAGTTGGTTTAATATTGGCCAGAAATGACCGTGAAATTACTATATTTGGACCTAATGGAGAACCATTCACGGTTCCCGAGCCTTACAAAACATGCAAAAGGCCAATTGGAGGACTTTCATTTAAAGATGAAATTCCGGAATTGGCTCAAGCAGATACTAGCATGGAAGGTGACATGGCTGGACCAAGATTAATCATACCATCAACTAGTGGAAGAGATAGCAGAGATAGAACAGCTGGTGTAGTTTTAGGTTGGTATGATAACTGTGTCTTGGTAACACGTTCTGACAATATTGTAGTAATCAAAAAAATATCCGACGGATTGTATAAGAAAGTACTTGAAACAACTAAATATTTAAATCTTGATGAACTTCCTGAGGCACATAAAGTTACTCCTGATGAATATGAGGTTACTCCTGGTGAATATGAAAACTATAAAATAGAACTTGCTAATTACATAGACTACATACGAGAGAAGTATTCTATAGTTCATAATCCAAAACGAAGTGCTTTTAAAGAACATGAACCAATTGGTAGAGCTGTTAATGGACTACAAACATTTTGGTCTTTAAAAGGAATATATCAATTGAATATGAACTGTGAAAAAACCATTAAAAGATTTAGAATTGAATACAAGAAATATTTGGAAGCTTCACGTAAATGGAAATTAGAATTGGCACATAAAGAATATTTTGAAGAATCTCAAAGAAATAAACAAAAATTCAAAGAAATGAGACACACTCTTGATGATTTTAAGACAAACAAATCAATGGATAAGTCCAAATTGGATAAAAATAGGCAACTCTTTGAGCAATTTGATTGGTCCAAACGTAATGTGGATTTTAAGGCACTACCAATATTATTACATGACAAAAAGCACAAAGAAAAAGAAGATCAAAATTGTTTTTGATGATAATGAAAAGTAAATCGCTTTAAACAGGAACAATTTTCATCTCTGAATGTCTTTAAAAAAATTATTATTGCAAAAAAAAAAAAAACTAAAAATTAATTCAAAATCAATTCAAAAAATTTAACATGTTTATTTTCTTATAATAAAATAATTAGCTTATAATGACAATTTACCAGTATATAATGCATTCATCTGATTATTTATTACCTTCACTCCATCAGGAAATTTTTTTAGGGGATAAATATTGAGATACATCATTTATCGATATTTATCTCAATAGAAAAATCGAAAATTAACGAAATAAGATAATTTTTGATAATTATCTTATGATATGTAGCATCATCGAAATTAATTACCAAGATAATTAACGATAAAGATAATACAGTAATAAATGAAATTAATCACCAAGATAATTAATGACAAAGATTATATACGAAATTAATCAGAGTTTTATTATTAAAAGATATATTTATTGACAAAATACTCATTCTCGCAATTATTTCTTGGTACCATACGAACTGACATATCTACAAAATCTAGACAAACGCGTGTTACTATTCATCGTCCCGATGAATTATTTCTTCTCCGTCTCCCATTTCTTTTCTTCCTTTTTATTCATCTGCTTTTTCACATTTTAAGATCGTCAAAACAATGAGAAAAAGTTTTTTATCAAGATTTAATCAAAAATTTATTATTAATCAAAACATAATTAAAATTAAAAATGATTCAAATAATAACAGTTATTATTATCATTATTCAACAGTATATCAATCAAAACAACAATTGGTAACTGGAGTAATTATAATAATATTAAATCTATAATTATTATTACCAGAGTTTAATATTTTACATCATATCAAGTAGAAAAGCTACGGTGAAGTTAATAAAAAAAGAGAAATTCAAATTAATTTAGAAGGTAAAATAATTATCACCAGTATCTCTTTTTATTATTTCTAAAAACTAATTGTCTATTTTGTGTGTGTATAAAAAAGATGTCATGCCAACAGATGATGAATTGAAATTGGCCTCTCAACATAAATCAATAAATTTACCAATAACAGTTCAACAAGAAATTATTAAAACAGTATTGAAAACTATTATTATAGCTGATCAAAAATTACGCGAAGAAAAAAGAAATCAAATCTTGAAATGTAAATTTTATTGATTAATTATTATTATTAATTAATTGTTACTGATGCTGTTAATAATATCGATTTTTTTTAGTGGCAGGAAATAATATTAAAGATATCACATCTTTGGCTAATCTTATAATATCAAATAATAAATGTAATTTTTATTTACTCTTTTTTTTTAATAAGAAAAGAAAATAATAACAATAATAATAATAATAATAACAACAACAACAATAGATGGATCGCCTGTATCTTTAGAATTATACAAAATATCAATGGATAAAGGAGATTTAGATGCAGAATATAGTTATGCAAGTTTAATATATAATGGTTATGGAGGATTACCTCAAAATCCTTTTGACGCAATGGAAATTTATAAAAAATTAGCAAAAATGGCACATCCAGCTTCACAGTATGCTTTAGCTACCATATATGCTGATCAGCTTAATGATTATAAAACTGCTATTGAATTATATAATTTGGCTGGCAACAATGGTTTGGCTAAAGCTTGGACTAATCTTGGTATAAAAAGCTTTTTACCTGAAAACATTTTATTTATTCACTTCATTTAAATGCAAATTTTATTTTTAAATAAAAACAAATTAAGGCTTATTGTATCAAAAAGGGTTAGGTGTTGAAAAAGATAATAATAAAGCAATTGAATATTTTACAAAAGGTGCTGATGCAGGTAATATAAATAAATACACCAGCCCCTTCCTGTCCGCCTATTTATTATTTAATATATTTTCTTATTTATTTATTGATTGATTAACAAGATGAAAGATCATCACATTTTATGCTTGGAGTGTATTATAATTTTCCAGACAATACACATAAAAAAACAAATTATGTAAAAGCATTAAAACATTATGAAGTTGCAGCCTCTCTAGGTATTTTAAACAAAATTGATGATGATAATAATATAATAATAGCAATAATTACACTTATGATTATACTTTATTTTAATTGATGATACAGGATTACCTGAAGCTCAATATAATTTAGGTAAATTATTTTTAGATGGTAAAAGAGGCATCATTAAAAAAAATCAAAATTTTGCAATGGAATATTGGAAAATGTCTGCATTTAATGGACACCAGGCAGCACAAGTAAGTTTTTTATTTTTATTTAATTTATTTTAAAGATTAACGATTTTTAAAATTTCCTTTGTGAACTAGATGAACCTTGCAATAATCTATCATAAAGGCATAGGAATTAAAAAAAATTTAAGGTTGGCTAAAGATTATTACATTCGTGCAAGTAAAAAAGAAGGCCAGCTTGCACTTGATGCTATTGAAAATTTGAAAAAATTGGAAAATGAATTGGAAAATGAATTGGAAAATGAATCTGTAAAATTGAATAACAATAACAATGACGACAATAAAAGATGTAATATAATGTAAAAATATTTATTTATAAAATTAATCTTAATAATTGATTAATTTATATATATAATATTTGTTACTGTTGTATGTGAAATTTGAAATCTATGATTAAATGTGGGTGCACGACATTTCTATCTATTTTAACCATTTTCTTGCAATAGCATTTGCCAAATTCATGAATGGTGACTCAACGAGTTTGTGATAAAACCATGATAAAATTATTGTAACCAAATAACTTAACATCACTGAGTCAAACATATCATTATTTTTTTCAATTTGATCCGATTGGTCTACATCTTTGAGTGTTTCAACATTACCAATAAATGTAAGATACTCATTAAAATAATTATTTACCAGGTTGAAAGCTATTGGGTGTAAAAGATAGATACTAAATGAAATTTTACCACAAAAACAAAAATAATTCCATGACAATAATTCTACAAATGATTCATTACGTGACAATAACCCCAGTAGGATTAAAGCTGTATATAATAGTCCTCCTGCGTTTGTTTCCAACCGAAGAACCTTAAGATCATATTCATAGCCCAAGATTTTTGATGATAATCTTGGCATTGTGCATAAAATTATTATAAACATTATGTAACAAGATAAATCAAATACTTTACGGAGTGTTGTGTGAAATGTAGGCAATTTTTCGTAAAAATAATTACATACTAATGACACTAATAAATGTATTTTGGTTTTTTTTCGAGTTTCATAAAAATCTTCATCTTCAATATCATTGTTCTTGTTATTTTCATCTTCACCATCATTGTTCTTGTTATCTTGATCTTCTTTCTCTTCCTCTTCACTCTTCGGTAATAAATTTAATCTAATAGCTTCTCTATATAATATAGCCCCCAGCGATCCACCCAAAAAATAATGAGCTGTGCCTTCTAACCATAAAGGATTTCTATTATCAAGTGTGAATGCAATAACTGTACGTGCAAACAATATTATAGAAAATGCAATAACTCGACCAATCAATCCTCCTTTTTTTTCATTATAACCATTAATCTTCATAAGCTTTTCTCCTATGCGACCAAATGCTACATATCCTATTACAATTATTGGAATAAATAAATAAAACTATATCATATGAATAATAATCATAATAATAAAAGTTAAAATTTTGATATATATTATAAACAACAATAATTAATTAATTGATTAAAATTAACCTGCATTTCAGGTGGTATTGACCAAAAATTAAATTGAGCTTCTTTTAAAACAAGATGAGGAATAAGGTTATCAGGGGTTATATAATGAAAAAATGATTCATCAAGAAATTGATTATAGGCAATTGAAATTAAAAGAATAGCATAAGGTGGATATACTCTCATAAATCTACGTAGAAAAAATTTGGTCCATATTTTAATTGCTGTCAAATTATCATCTTCATATAATTTCGAGAAAATCCCTTTTCTTTTTGATACTAGTTTTATATTTGAATCCAACTCTCTAGTTGTTTCATTATATTTCTAAGTTTTCATTGATTGAGAAATTGGGTAATAAGTAATCCATTGATTGGTTGTTGATTATAATATTTACAATCATTAAAAAAATTTCATCTTATGATTATTATTGTTTGTATCAAAAAAAAATTATCTACCTCATTATCATTATTCACACCGTTATCTAAATGTAATGGAATTGATAAATTTGACGCAGTATTCTCTTCGTCGTCTACATTATCATTATTGTTAACATTTTGATGCTCAAGATTACCTGGTTTTTTATCTTTTAAAGTATCTCTTTTTTCAAGGTATGTTTCCCATTCTAAAATCCCACGAAATGTTAATAAAAAGGCTGACAATACAAAAAAACATCGAACGCCGTCGTAACCAATCAAATTGTATGTATTATATGGAAGTGTTTCTTTGAAATGAATTTGTGAATGTGAGTAAACCACTGAAAGTGCAGCTAAACCTCTCAAACCATCAAGAAATTTTGCGTGAAAAACAATTTTTTTTGGTGCCATTATTTATTATTATTTTTATTATTATTCATTATTATTATTTTTATTATTATTTAAATTAATATTAATATAATAAGGAAGGTTGGTGTGTTACGATGCATTACTAAATGTCGTAACTTTTTTACATTTTGTGTAATATTTTTCCCTTTTTTATGTTTCCCCAGGGCGCGCGATCAAAAATATTGAGGGAATGCCCGGTTTGGACCAAATAAATTTTCAGGTTTCTATTTCGAATAAGGTAAACGATTTGAATAAAATAATATATTCACATTGCCAATCCAATCCAATTAAAATTTTTTTTTCTTTTCCTTGTATATAATAATAATAATAAATAGTGGTAGCAGAAGTAATTGTCCATTTTATTTAAGTCATAGTACTGGTAACCATAGCAGTAGTAATATAGGTTATAAATATAATTATTGTAATTTTACAATCCCTTAACGATTACAACAGAATTTGTTGCATCAAGTTGTGAATTAATATTTTATGTTTTCTAAAACGAATAAAACGAATAATTCGAATAAAAGATTATAATTCGAATGAAGCGAATAAAATGAAATAATAATGATGATAATAATAACAATGATTCGAATAAGAACTGTATTAGAAACAACAAGTAAAAATTTCAACCTAAAAATTTATATACGTGTAATCGGAAAAAAATTCTTTTATCGGGCATTCTAAAATTTTACCAGAATGCCTGAAATTTTATAATAGGATTTCGTACTCTAAACTAACGACTTTACCCAATTTTGAAATGTCTTGTTGCGTGGGAAATAATTCGTCGTAAAGAAGACTCGTTGAGACTTGTAACGAACGGGAAATTCAGTTACAGTTACGGTAATTAATCACGAACCTTCTAAACATTTTTGTTTCTCAACTTTAGTAAACTGAATTGTTGGGAAGGATGAGATCAAAATCAAAGGATAAAACTTTGTAATAAGTCTTTTTTTCTTTGCTGCGCTGAATTGAAATGATTTGCAAATTGATTTAAATAAAATTGAAATTTGAACAGAAATATTTTCATTTTCCAAAAAAAAAGATGAATGGTTATTTTTACATACCAATCCCCGTTATTACTATTTATCTGTTTGTTGTGTTTTGTGCAACCAGAAAATTTATCAAAACGTCAGAGTGGTGTCTGCCGTTGTCTACCGTCAGGTCTTTGTTTTGTTCTGACGTTTGGACCATTTGAATGACCAGAAACGACATAAAACTGATGGCTTTCTTTTTCTTGGGAGCCTTTGCCTTGGATCGTCAAAGATTTGCCACACAACGTGTTAGTATCAATGTTAACTGGTCACGAGACCGGGATTCAAAAAGACTTTTACGTTGTCAAATTTTTTTAATGAAACAATCAGTTGTTTGTGCTAAATTAAAAAATTCTTTGGTTTTGACTATTTGAAGGATAGTGGAAGATCCTTTCAGATAAATTTTTTATCGATCTTGACCGTTTGAGGGATGGTGGATGGCTGACTGGATAGGAAAAAAATTTCCTTTTGGAGAAAACAAAATAAAATCACAAAAAATTTGTAAAACATTCAAAAACAATTGATCCATCCGATTGACCTTTAATCTGGGATGAATAAATAAACAAGCAGGTTTGCCTCTTGATTGTCTGGTACTAAAATAATTTTTTTGATTTATTCAAAAGTTAAATAAATTCTCCTCTTGAACATTCTTTGCCTTTTGTTTAGTATACCAAAAAAAACAACGATGTCATCCATCTTATCATCAATCATGTTCGTGAAGTCAGCCGGCAGAACACGCATAGTGACAGTGCCATGTAGAAGAAGATCAAGAACACGTGGAGGTAAATTACAAAATGTTCAGAGTAAACGATGCTAACAACGTTCTAATTTAACTTTAATCAATTGATTATCAGGGCCAGAAATATTATTATTATAATTACACTTTTTGTTGAACGTTTGTTTAAAAATATCTTTCAATGTATCAGGTATTGATAGAAAGAATAAAAATTAATTTTGAATGGCTTACTTGGGTACAGAATTCTGATTGGCTAATACTAATCTGTATTTCACAAAACTCTGCTGTGTTGAGTCAAGCTTCTCTCTCTTCCCGGAAATCGTTAAACATTTTATCTTTTGATTTTGACTGCTTGAGAGTAGATGTCAATGACGTAAATGAAGAAATCAATTTTGTAGCAATCAAGTATCTTTACATTTTCGAAAAAAGACATGTTGGTTTTTTTTGACAATCAAGAAAGCAATTCCATTTTTTAGAGTGATCAAGTATCTTTATGTTTTCAAAGAGACATGTTGGTCTTTTCTTTGACAATAAAGAAGAAATCAATTTTGATTTTTTAGTAACAACTAAGCATCCAATAAAGACATGCTGGCTTTTTTTTTTTTGATAATAAAGAAGTCATCCTGTTTGTTTTTTGTGGTTATTATGTATCTTTGACAATAAAGAAATAAATTATCAATTATCCTGGCAATAAAGCATCTTTTATACAAATGATTTTTTATTTTAGTCCCATCTTTAAATTGTTATAAAATGATGGTGTTTTGAAAAGTGTTGTATCTAAAAAATATTATATTATAAATTTTTTTAAATTCACAACATCAGTTCCTTCAGAATGTTTATTTTCTAATGTTGAAAATCATATAACACCTAGTAGAAATAGATTGTCACTTGCTTTTGTTCCTCTTAAAATGAAATTCATGAGAAATTATTATATTCAGTTAAACCGTTCAATATTTTATTGAATATTTATTTGTATCATATTTTTTTTATTTAATATTGCTATAAAAAATTATGCACGGAAAATGTATGGAAAATGTATGGAAAATGTCCGGAAACGGTCGTGTTTACTTCATCAAAAATTATTTCGTCAACAATCATTTCGTTGACACCCATTTCGTTGAAAGTTTGTTTCATCGAAAGTTCATTTCGTCGAATGTTCATTTCGTCGAAAATTATTCATCCTTGAGCCAGAGACCGAAAGAGTTAGATGTGAGGAGTGTGGGAAGTTAGTTAAGAAATTAGGTGAGGAAAGCGGAGTGTG